TGCATTCAGAAAATGAAAGTTAGACACAAATACTTTGAAGACAGGATGTAAGCTGTCTATGATTGGAGAAGTCAGCATTGCCATTATTCTGTCTTATAGGCATGGTGTGGCCACACTAATAATAATATTAACAATAAAAAGTAATTCCCCATTCTTCTGTGATAACAAGTTTGTAGAGTTCTTTCATACAGCGTTTTTGTTGTCTATTTTTCACCTTCATTGAGGTATAATTGATGTAACTAAGCTGTGTATATTTCTAAATGATCAATTTAAACTGTAGATGCCTTGCAACCATATAGGTTCCTTTACCGCAACCACCACTGGCATTTATGCAGTAGTTGTCATATGATTACATCTATATACATTGAGAACCCCACCAAACAATGTTATGGCTTTTGCTTTCAACTGTCCTACATATCGTAAAGAACTTAAGAGGAAAATTGGTCACATTTTCTTGGTTCTTTGCCTGTCAGATAATTTAGGATTTTATACTGACTTCATGAATGTTAAGTTATGTAGATGCTGAAGAATACTGAACTTGTGCTTTAGCAGACAGTCAACCCAGTTAGGTTCAGATGGCAGGTTCTGTCTCACCTTTTGTGGGCAGTGGTTCAAATCTCAGTTCAGTGCCCTAAACTTTTACTTTGCTGGTTGGAGTTTGTCCCACACATATGTAGCTTAGAAGTGAGCCTGTGGGTTGATACACAGAATTAGAGGATCCCCTTTGTCTGGCTCTCTCCACTCTGGTTTTATTCCTTTACTGTCCTCCCACCAGGGGCTCCTTTTCCTGTTTCCTCTGGCCAAAAAGATGGAATTTCTATCAGAATTTAGCAGTTTACTGCACCTTTTGAGCTCCTTTCCTGGGAATCACCTTCAGGGTAAAGCTGCCAAGCAAAAAAAAAAAAGAAAACTGAGAGATTTATTCCCATCTGTCATTTCTCCAGATTTTGTCTCTCCACCACAATTTATTTGGTTTCCATACATTTCAGAGGCCACAGGTAGTTGTTTTTTATATTTTGACAAGACTTCTTCATTGTACTCAGTGGGAGAGAGATGCCATAATGTGTATCTGCCACCATGCCAGAACTGGAATTTGTCATTTGTTCTTTTAATGGTTTTTTAAATATTAACCCCATGATACAAATGTGGGAAAAAACTGGACTAGAGCCAGGTCTACTCACCAGCGTCTATCTTAGGGAATGTTTTCAGTCAAATTTTATTTCTCTGCCCAAACCGTTGTTGCTTCAGTGTCCTCTGAGATCTTTTGTTTTAACACAGTTGTACAGCTCTTTTAGAGCCAAGTGTATTTGCTCCCACCCAGAAGAGCATGATGTGTGTAGCAGTTTAATCATAAACACCATATGAGAACATTCTTGCCAACTCTACATCAATATTGGCCACCAAACTGAGCAGTAGCATAGGTTGTTTGTTTACAGTTTGTTTTTTAACTTCTACTATTACCTTTTATTGACTATATCATCTCATTTAATCCTCAAACCAACACTGTGAGGTATGTAGTATTCTTGCCATTTTATACATAGAAATGGAGACTCAAAGAAGTTAAGTAACTTCCCCCAAGAACTCTTAGCTAATTCAGTGCTAGAGCTGAAACATAGCTCTCTCTGACCTCAAAGGCCCTGTGCTTTAACTCTTATGTTATCCTGGCCTCCTGCATCATGGAGGGATTTTGTTCTGAGCTATCTGGGGACAATCAGGTTGTGGCTCTTTATTAAGTATATATGCATTATGTTTTCTTTCCTTTTTAGGAGCTCAGTGATGCCCTCGGAATCAGTATTGCTGGAGGAAAAGGAAGTCCCTTAGGAGATATCCCTATATTTATTGCCATGATTCAGGCCAGCGGAGTGGCTGCGCGTACACAGGAGCTTAAAGTAAGTTTTGTTTTTTTTTCCCTGTGGCTGGCAGGTACAGGGATCCGAACTTGTGACCTTGGTGTTCTAAGGCTGCGCAGAAGCTTAAAGTAAACAAGAGGGGACTGGTTGAAGTGCTAACAGTATGAGGTGGGGTGGGAGAGGACATTGCAGCCATGGGCACTTTGTTTAAAGTTGGAGTTCCAGTAGCCATCAGAGACCCACGCTGAGGGCAAAGTGCACCAGAGTAACTTTAAACCTGATATTCATTATGTCCCTGGGCATATAAAAATAATATTGTTTGTATCAAAGCTTCCCAATAAAAGAAAAAATTGCAGCTCCTTTTCATACCCTCTCATACCCTTTTAAGCACCGTCATTCCAGCCAAAATTTGTTTTCGACAGAGAGAGTTGACTTTAGTGTCTTTTTTCAACCAAAAGAATCAACATCTTTATGTTTTGGGGTTTTTTTTTTTTTTTTCGTAGTGCTCCTTAATCCTAACTCAGGTAGAAAAATAAAGCAGAAAATATTTGGCTTCCTCATTCGCACTTTATTGAACAGTTAATTTGTACACCCCGCTATTACTGGCAAATAGATGTATGAAACACCACCATTACCAAAATACAAAAGTGGCCTACCGTGCTTTTTAATAATTGAATCTGACCCCCTTCTTGTTTCTCTGATTGGTCTGTATTTTGGGAAAGCCAAAAAAATTCCTCATGCTTCTCAAACATGCATACACAGTAGAAACACAGAATCTTCACAATAGCCACAAATGGGAAATATGACTTACAAAGAATCTAAGCATTCTTCTCAAATTTAATTTTTTGTAATGATAGTGATTTTCTACCACTTTTGTGTTTCTAGGTTGGAGATCGGATTGTCAGCATTAATGGGCAACCTTTGGATGGGCTGTCTCATGCGGATGTGGTTAATCTGCTGAAGAACGCCTACGGGCGCATTATCCTGCAGGTATTGCGATCAATGAAACATGCAGCTGCATGAGGCAGATAAGTGGCCTGCAGAAAAGATTGAGCGTCACTGGCAATAGGCATCACCACACAGCAGGGTGCCTGCTGATGTGAATTATGAAGGTTGAAAGCAAGAAATTATTATTTTTATTCAGAAATTCTTTAATGCCACCCATAAAGGCAGTGAGCATGATTATATGAAAGCATAACAAGGGGAGAAAAATTACTCTTTGCTTCGCGTGATAAATCAACACGGCTTTTAGCTTCCAGTGTTCTTTTGTAAATCAAAGTTTGCAAGGAATTGGAAAGGATTTCTTTTCCTACGCCCAGAGACTGTTTTGAACTGCCCAAATGCTATTTTTTCCTCTCCCTTTAAATGAATAGAAAAACAAAATGCTTTTTTTCCTGTAGCACAAATGATTGCCAACGCTGTTAAATTCTCACTGCATAGCAGTCATCAACTAAGGCAGACAATTGTTGATCAGCTGTGGTCCACAGAGTATTGTTCAGAGGCACAGGGAAATATACCAGGAAGTAAATGCAAAGTGTGCTGTTAATTACCTCTCCTCCTACTCCAGCACTTCAAATGTGTCTGAGATTGACACCATGCAGTGACTGAGAGGCAGCATACTGGCAGTGAGGCTTGTTAATGACTTCCCCCAAAAAGGTGTGATTATAATCACCATACTTCTGCAGAGGTAGTATAAAGTGGTTTATAGGTAAAAAAACAAAATAATAAAAGCCATCACTTACTACCTTAGAGAGAGGGCTACCCAGCCACTCAGATAATTTTAGCCTTAAAATAAGAAGTTCAAATTGAAAAACCGTTACATTTGGGGAGCCAATGCATGGTGCTTAATTCCAACATTTCATTGGTGTCAGTGCAGAGGGCCAGACTGTTAAAAAGTAAGCGGCTTTCAGCATGTATGAAGGGAAGCATGAAAATACTGTCAGTAGTTTCAAGGGAGTTCATGTGATAGGCCAAATATTAAATTGCTTGGGTCAGGGCTGGCCCATGGCTCACTTGGGAGAGAGTGGTGCTGACAACACCAAGGCCACGGGTTCAGATCCTATATAAGGATGGCCAGTTAGCTCACTTGGGAGAATGTGGTGCTGACAACACCAAGTCATGGGTTAAGATCCCCTTACCAGTCATCTTGTAAATAAATAAATAAGTAAATAAATTGCTTGGGCCCCCAAGTTTCTATTGAACACTGACAAAAGCACCGCGTGGACCAGCCTAGCCTCTGCTTCCCCTCAGTTCCTTCTTGTGCTCGCTCTCATGGAAACTTCCTGTTTTCCCTCATATTCCTTTCTCGCCTACAAATCCTTTGCTTTTTGTTGTTTGCTGTGCTGCATGTCCTTCGAATTATGATGAGCCCTGGAGGCTTAAGTGAAACTTCCACTTCTGAGCTGTGGACCACTGCCGATCTATGCAGAACTTAAGAAGACGTGACTTCAAATGGTGACTGTGACAAGAAAAGTCTTTCCCTTCATATTATTGACATGTTCTCACACTGATACATTTTGTTCAGCTTTACCTTCTTCACAAAGAAACAAGACACAATTTAAAAGTGTAACATTAAATTTTAAAAGTACCTTAAAAAAACAATTTGTAAAAAAAAAAGCAATAAAAGTACCTTAAAAAAAACAATTTGTAAAAAAAAAAAAAAGCAATAAAAGTACCTTAAATGAAAATGAGCTCATGCCCTTCCATGTAGAATTAACACTTTATTTCATCCAAATTGCCACTATTAACATACTTTTGAAAAAGTTCCTCTTTTTTTAAAAATTTCTGTATTTTTTTTTTTCCTTTTTGTCTTTTTTCGTGACCGGCAATGGATCGCAACCCTCGGTGTCGCTCCCGCCCCTCGCTCAGCCAGTAGGCGGCCGGTCTGTATGTGGGATCCGAACCCTCGGCGGGAGCGCCATCGCGCTTCCCAAGCGGCGCACTATAGCAGTGCGCCACCGGGCCGGCCCCAAAATTTCTGTACTTTAAGAAGAAAATGAGACTTGGTTTCAAAATGTTCTCTCGCATTAATCACGCTTGTTGGTGTTTTTATTTTCTAACGTGCCATTTAGAAGATTAATGGAATCCTTTGGGATTTTGACAGTTGTAATCTTCACACTTATGGGTATGAGCATAGATGCTGCCAAAGGCTTTAGCCACAAACCCTGGGAAACTCTTACGTCCCACATCAAGCACCTTTCAATTGCATAGTGTTTTTGTTTTATTTAAAACAATGTGCATGTAGTACCAGCTATACAGTTGTCACAGCTGACTTGTCCTTAGGTAATGGTTTTTATTGTTGGGTAAGCCAGCCCATGGGCAGAGTAGTAGGAAAGGTCAGATAATTGTGTCTGATGATCTGGAAAAGACTTATTGTCAGTGTATCATACGAAGCAGTCAGCAAACATTGACCACAGGGAAGATTAAGGTCTGGGTCAGCAGATTGCAAGGTGGAGAAGGAGATGAGTAGAAGAGACAACTATCACTTCTGGAAGCTTCTCCCCACAGTTTAAATTGCTATGTCTAGGTATACTAAGGAGGTAGATATTACCCTTAAAGTCTGATGGTTTCTTATTGCTAATTACAGATTGGTCATTTAAAATTGATTTGGCTATGAGGGTGGGGTCTTTTTGTTGTTTTCTTTTTTTTTTTTTTTTTGTTCTTAGCAGCTGGCCAGTGCAGGAACCCAAACCCTTGACCTTGGTGTCATAACACTATGCTCTAACCAACTGAGCTGACTGGCCAGCCCACTGAGGGATTATTTTAAATGTTCCCAATTATATTTGCCTCTGTAGTTTGATAGTTTGCCTGGTTCAACTCCTGGTCTATGGAATTACTATAAAGCCTTTTTTGGACAAAATCAAGTAAGCCAAACTGTGTTAGAAAATATTGTTTTTGGTTTTACATCTTTCTTTGGGGATGTAGAAGATAAAAAGAGCATATCAGAGGTTTTTATCCCTAAAGGAACTTGTGAGGCTCGTTCTGGGTCCATTAAGAGGTTTTCCAAATATTTTAGAGCTTTGGAAAATGGGTAGATAGAGGTAGCAACTAAACTAGGAAATATAGGAAGAGTACGTTGGGAGAGAAGATAACATTGTAGCTTGAGACATCTATATGGAGGTGTTCAGTCAGCAGAGGAAGTCTGCTGGGGATGCTCAGGGAGACATCAGTGCTGGAAACAAGTAAATAAAGCCATCTGAGGCTTTTCAGTGTTGACATCCCCACTGCCTGGCACATTATACTTACTAGATATTGGCTGAATAAATGAATGAAAATAGAGGACAAAAGCTTGGAGCTAGCAGCAAGTATGGAGGGCAGGAGAAGAAAGCCTTTAAATAAGGGTCTATCTACAAAGTAGTACCTTGAGATGCCCTTGAAGGCATCCTCCAGAGCACACAGAACTGATATAAGAGGCCCCACTGTTGGTTAGGAATGAGAGCTCAGCCATACTCATTAAGATAACAGAGAAAACAGTAATTTCTCTTCTGAACCCCAGATTGAAAATGGGAGAGAAAAAATAAGACACAGGATTAAGCCAAGAAATCCAATATTCAACAAGTAGTAGTTGCAAAACGAAAAACAGAGTGAAAAAAATAACAAAGAAATAAATTTAGTTTAAAGGACCTTAATCAGAGAGCAGGATAAATAATACAAGAATAATCCCTATATATCTTCTAAAACTCTCAAAGGGAAAAGTATGAATACCTACAAAAGAACAAGAGATTTAAATGGCACCTGATTTTCCATCAGCACTGTATTTCTGAGAAAATTACTTCAGGATATACTCCAAGAAAAGACCAAAATAAGAAAGAAGGAAGCCATTGGCTCCAGTGCTAAAGGACATTGGAGTTCCAGGATGACAGCTGTGTAGCAGGCATAGAGAACAACTTGTCCAAATTTGGACAGGAGGAGAACAGGGCTCTTAGAGAGATGCCTCTGAATTAAAAAGAAAAAAAAGCAGAACAGACAGATTACCCAAAATGTTTAATTGCATTGGAAGTTTGAGCTCAGTAGGAAAGTACGGGGCTAAACTAGTAAGTAGTATTTAAAAAAAATAAAATATGAGATAATTAATAACCTTGAGGAAAATAAATTTGTACAAAAAAGGAAATGTAATCATAGTAGTTAGCTCAGTATAAATAACATTTATGTAAACATTATAAGTTATATTAGTAAAACCAACATAACTAAACATTAAAATGCATGAAATATTAGTAGAATGGGGGTTTGGGGTGTTTTGGTGAAAGGAAAATATGAGTTAAATTTTTATCTTCCATAATAGGAAGTTATTAAATAATATCTAAAACTTAAAAAATCAGGAAATAGAAGTAAAATCATGTTATTTAGAAATATTCAACTATGTTCCAAAAAAAAATTTTTTTTAATGAAAAGAAATATGGAAGCAGTACTAGCTGGTTAGCTCACTTGGGAGAGCGTGGTGCTGGTAACACCAAGGTCATGGGTTTGGATCCGCATACCAGCCAGCCACCAAAAACAAAAAAAGAAATGTGGAAGCAAATATTAGGAGAAACAGCTGAAAAGGTTGAAAGTAATTGCTTTTAGGAAGTTAGAATCAGTAACTGGAGAGAGAGGAATAGGGACTCTTTTCATTAAACACTATAGAATCATTTTTACTTTAAATTATACACATGAATAAGTTATTTTTCTAATTGAAATAAAAATAAAAGAACTGTTGGAAATTGTTAGAACTACAGAGGTTTGAGTATATTTTAAAACATAGGAAACAAGTAAAACTTAAAAAATGATATAAAAGTTAAGTGGAAGAGTTTGGCAAGCTAAATTTTCATCTGTTGGAGAAGGGAATCAACAGACATCATCAAGATGACAAATTTCAAAATAGGCATATAAGCATATTATTTAGCTTATTTCTCTAGGATTTAAAAAAGTTCAGTGTGTTTCTGGAGAGTGAGAGTGTTGAATTTTTT